CTACAGACCAATTTCCCTTCTGAGCCGCGTCTACGTGCCGTTTTCGAGAGATATTACGAATCGTCTCGCACGCAGATTTGACGACTTCCAGCCTTTCGAGCAAGCCGGTATCCGAAAAGGCTTCAGTACCATAGACCACATACATATCCTACGGCAGATTGTACAGAAGACCGAGGAGTACAATCTGCCACTTTGCCTAGCGTATGTGAACTATGAGAAAGCCTTTGATTCCGTCGAAATTCGGGCGGTGCTACAGTCACTTCAACAGTGCCAAGTTGACTGTCGGTATATCGAAGGGCTGAAGTGTTTGTACAGTAAAGCTACGATGGCTATCCGAGTACAGAACCAGAGTTCGAAACCTATCTAACTGCAGAGAGGTGTAAGACAGGGTGACGTTATATCCCCGAAACTTCACCGCTGTATTGGAAGACGTTTTCAAGCTACTACAAATACACATTAATCACTTACCTTCGATTTGCCGACGATATAGTCCTTATGGCAGAATCGCTGGAGGACCTAAGCACTATGCTCAATGAACTCAATAGTGTCTCCCAACAGATAAGTCTTAAGATGAACAGGGACAAAACAAAGATCCTGTTTAATGTCAAACAAATAGTCCGACTAGGTAAGTCCAACTTTAACCGAGAGATTAATCAACGGATTCAGCTTGGCTAGGCAGCGTAGGCAGCAGGCAGCAACACATCTTCTCGTCAGGTATACCTCAAAACCTAAAAACGAGACTGTACAACCAGTGTGTGTTGCCAGTGGTTACTTATGGATCTGAAACGTGGTCCGTAACAGGTCGCTCAGCGAGCTATGGAAAGGGCTATGCTTGGGGTTTCTCTGCGTGATAAACTTAGAAATGACGATATCCGCAGTAAAAGCAGATTGACCGACATAGCCCAACGGATTAGTAAGTTGAAGTGGCAATGGACATAGCTGGATGGATATAGCTCGAAGAACCGACAACCGGTGGGAAAAAATGGTTCTCAAGTGGCAGCTTCGTACCGGTAGGCGTAGTGTGGGGCGACCCCACACTAGAGGGAGTGACGACCTGGTAAGACATGCAGGAAGTCGATGGATGCAGGTGGCTCGGGACCGTGCTTTGTGGCATTCCTTGGGGGAGGACTCTGTTCAGCAGTGGATATGAAGGACTGTAATGATGAAGGTGATGATGAAAATAAACAACAAAACACAATCATAAACTGAACGTATTAGCGTATTAGAGTAGGTAACCTTCATTAGTTAGAATGAAAATTTGTGGATAAATGTAAAATATTATCCATTAAACTCAATTTTCACTAAAATCCGAAAAAACCGGATTTTAATCTTAAACACCAAATTTACAAAACTCTGGAAAATCCGGATTTTTCAGTTATTTTCGAATTTCGAAGAATCCGGATTGTAATCACTAGCCACACACCCTTAATTTTTTGATCTTAGTAAAAATATATTTTACCATAAAATCTTCTTAAATTCTAATGAAATACCAATAAAATTTAATAAATCACCGTTCTCTATTATTCATCATTCAATATTCATTACAAATATTAATTTCAATAATTGCAATATTATTTATGTAAGTATATGAGAAATGTAAAATATGCTCAAATTTAAAAAGCTTAACAAAAGCCGGACAGGCCGGACACCGTCGACATAATATTTTGGCCGGACACGCAGCTAAACAGCCTGTGTCTGGCTTTATCCGGACGCCTGGCAAAGCTATCTGCTTATTGCATGGTTGATTAGGTTCTAATAATTTTCCTGTGCCCACTGCTCAGTTGTAGACATAATTTATCATGATATCGTAAACATTTATATCACCAGTAAGGTAATCTATTGATAATTAAACTATATTTTTAATTATTACAAATGAAACACATCGATAAAGAACTCGCTGAACCCAGCGAAATGTTTATAAATTTTTATCTCTGTAACAAATAATTACATTACGTTTTAACGGGGAACAGTAGATAGCGTCGAGTGCGTTGTACGCAGATAAAGTTAGTGCAATTAACTCTTGTTTATTTTTATTTCAATATAGTTTTTACGTGATAATGTTACGCTGTAGCTATTTTATAGTTGTTGCACGAATGGGTCGGCTCGACCGGGGTAGGACCACGCTCTCACAGAATACCAGCGTAAAATAGCAGCTTAATGCTATTGTGTTTCGTATGATGAGTGAAGAGAACCGGAGACTATTTTTACTTGTAACTAGGCATTCCATCTTAGTCTTCAGGGGTGACAGTGCATCTGCATTTTGATTCTTAATCGAGGATAAATGTAGATATCTAAGGGCATCCACTTACCATCTTGTGGACTGTGTATTCGTTTGTCACCCTAATTCTATAAAAAAAAATTAAACCGAGTATCGTGGTTGCTCGGGGGCTAAGCGTTCAATTTCACACATTTCAACGATCCGATTAAATGTTGATTAATCCCAGCGGTGAAGGAAAACATTGTAAGGAACCCTGCACGTGTGGGGGGGGGGGGGGTATCACTGTTCCTTAACACTGTAAGAATTGAGAGGAGGTCAGTGCTCGTCTGTATTACGTCGCATTCCGTTAGCATTCGCTTTTTATATATATTTTGGATGGCCTTATTTAGCGTCTGGAAAAAATAGGGTGTTAAGTTTTCATTTGCTAACTAACCTATTTAAGTTTATGAATAGTCACATTTGCATGCCGTGGCAGTCTATAATTAAAATGACACTTAGCTTTAGTTTAAATTTACTTACTTTAAATTTATTGAAAAAGAAAAGACTGAAAGATATATTCCTATGAAAAGTGTAATGTGCTACCTTCAGCAAGTATTAATTAAAGAAATAAACGTTTATTATAATATAATATGTCTAAGATAAGTATTTAAGTAACATAAAGTATATATAATAGATAATAGTGATGCATTTGCCGAATACGAATATTCGTATTCGGCAAATGCATGCTAATCACGAATATTTATAAACTAATATTTTTGCACGCAACTCTAATTACTGGCAGACTTGGAAAACGCGCGTCGTCGGCGCGTAAAAAATACGTGTGCATAGGCCTTTAGCCGCAACGACGGGGGACTTCCCGGCTTCGGAAGTTTCCTTATCACTACTACGAACCCTTCATTTAATTTTAGAGTCGAACGAAAGTACAGGGCAAGAAACAGAGTATTATTTAATTTAATTGTTTTGTGAGGTTGCTGCGCAGTGAAAGAAAGAAGTTCAAGTTGAAATGTCTTCTCGTAAACGAGATCAAAGTGACATATGCAAACACTTCGATAAATCATATCGATATCATATAAACATAGGCACTCATTGTCATCTACATAGTAAAAGTAAAATTTTATTGCAAAATATTTTTACAGGGGATTCGCAAACTAAAAACGAGATGCTTATCTAAAGCTCCCAAAATTATCGTCCACTGCTGATACATTGGCCTTTTGGCGAGATGATGTTCATTTTCCAAGGCCGAAAAAATTCGCCCAAAAATATTTTTCACTGAAACCATGTACAGTCGGAAAGGCTTTTTCAATGGCTGGGAACATCCAGAATGAAAAAAGAAATCGCCTAAAACCAGAAAGTCTACAAATTTTATGTTTTTTAAATAAAAACTTGCCTATCGTAAATTCTAATTATTAGAACAAGAATTAATTATTTATTACCATGGCGAGATATTCTTATTCGTATTAGCCGAATAGTAGGTTTGATATCCGCATTCGTATTCGTAAAAGTAGTATTCGTTGCATCACTAATATAGTATAAATGTAAAAGAAAAGAGCGCCATTAACGCTAACAAACCGTTGCACAGTTGGGCGATGAAACTGTAAAGGTGTTTTTTATATAAATAGGAAAGGTATTAAAAATAGACCTGTACCAATTCGTGTCCAGCTGGGAACTATTAAAGATTAATGATGATGATGATAATACCGTTATGTGTCACATGAATGATTCGTTCGTTTGAACTGGAACACTTGGAACACTGAACACAAAGTATTGATGGTTCATTCATCTGTTTTTGAATGTTTCGGTACAACCAATCACAAAAAATTGACGGAACCTTTTTAACTCGTGATTTGTGTGAATTGTGAATGAGTCGAAAACCGACCGAATCACAAATGATCTGCATGAATTGTTTTTAGAAAATGAATTGTTTATAGTGTAGGGTACTGGAGCTCGAAACCCAAAATATGATCCATTAAACGAATGATTCGATCACGAGAAATTAATGATTAACACATGTCTAAACTTTACCGTTACAGCCTATTAAAGTCCACTATTAAACTAAACATAGATCTCTCCCATAGATTGCCATAGGGCGGATATTTTTCATAGTTGACACGCTTGAAAAAAATCGCAGTTTATTTTTTATTTTTAGTCGTTATTACGATTTGGCATACCTCAAAATCTCAAAACTAGATTGTACAGCCAGTACGTGTTGCCTGTGATGACCTATGGATCTGAGACGTGGTCCTTCACTGCCGGCCGTATGAGGAAGCGAGTCACTCGGCGAGCTATGGGGAGGGCTATGCTCAGAGTTTCTATGCGTGATAAACTTACGTATGAGGATATCCGCGGTAGAACCAGAATAACCGACATAGCCCAACGGATTAGTAAACTGAAGTGGCAATGGGCCGGCCACATAGCTCGGAGAACCGATAATCAATGGGGAAAAAAGGTTCTCGAGTGGCAGCCTTGTATCGACAGGCGTAGTGTAGGGCGTCCCCCCATTAGATGGTGTGACGACCTAGTAAGACATGCAGGAAGTCGAAGGATGCAGGTGGCTCGGGGCCGTGCTTTGTAGCATTTCTTGGGCAACTTGTTCAGCAGTGGACTTCTGAAGGGCTGTAATGATGATGATAATAACTAGGATATGATTCCCTCTGTCGTTTTTACGACATCCACGTGATAATATGGGTGAATTAATATTCTTACACCACCACTGCACGGTAAGGTGATAATACAATAATACAATAATCAATAACTCAAACAACACATATAACTATGTTTACAGCACCTATGCAAGTCTATGGAGATAGTGAACGAGGAGTACGAAATCGTGCAGATGAGCTACCACCAGAACACGCTGCTGGTGTCGAGCCTGTACCGCACCATCTTGTGCGAGCGGCGAGACTCGCGGTGGCACGTCAACCAGCTAGGCAAAAAGGAGAGGAAAAGGTAAGGTTACATATAATTTAAATTGTGTATTAAAATATGGTCGGTTTACCTTTCTGCCAACAAGTAGCAGTTTTAACACGTGATCGAGTCATGTTACATTAATTTGTATTATGGTTGTAGCACGAAGGTGTCGGCTTGACCGGGACCGCACTCTCATAGAAAACCGGCGTAAAATAGCAGCTTAACGCTGCTGTGTTTCGTATGCTGAGTAAAGAGAATCGGAGGCCCTTTTTGCTGGAATCGTGGCATTTCATGTTAGTCCTCAGGGTTGACAACGCATCTGCATTTTGATTCTTTGTTAAGGATAAATGTAGATGTCTATGGGCCACAGCAACCACTTACCATCAGGTGGACTCTGTAATCAAAAATGGTCGGTTTACCTTTTCGTGTGTTCGATTTGCAACGACGTAACTGCGTTCTGTTTTAACTTTTTCTATTATCTTATGTGAATTCTTTTATCTATTACGCGGGTAAAAATATTGTCAATGTCGTTGTCGTACGAGAACAGTGAAAAAAATCTCTCATCCCATTTCGTACCGTGGGTGTAGTTGTAGTTATAAGTAATTATTTTGTAGATACTTAATTGGCGATTACGTGTTAAGTAAGTTAAGTTAAAAAGTTTTAATATCAAGAAGCTGTTCCTATCCTAAATATAAATAAATAAATATTAATCTTGTTTATGTCAGCTAGAAAAGACTGGCCGGCGACGGCGAAACATCGTTACAAACACAAAACGTCTAGTATTGTAATAACTGATCAGTCAAACATAGTGAATCACTGATCAGTCAAACATAGCGAATGCTTTTTACACGAGAAAACAAACAGAGCCGATACTTGCCAGGGGGCATTAAATTATTATGTATGTTATTATTGTGCGTCCACTAGTTGCTTATCAGTATCCGTTGCGTGCAAGTGAACTTGCACCTTTAGTACTGCAAGGTCAAGTACCTCACCACGTCAACTAGTTTCCTTATATTTAAATGTGCAAGCGCTTGTTCTAGGTAAACAATATGTAAAAAATACTCCGTCCGATTTGAGAGGGTGCTTTTTGGTATCGTCATATGGTATTTGATTCTGTTCATATAATTCATTTAAGATAATAAATTTAAAAAAATCTTGCAATAATTTATATTACATGAGGAGTTTCGGCAGGAACTTGACCGTTGATTGTTGCTCTTGTTTTATCGTCTAAACAATGGTTTGAAGTGGATTTTGACGCATGTGAACTATTAGAGAAAACGACGAAACAAGTGCTTCGATGTTGATATAAACCTCAAGTTATTTTGATCGCTTAGGCGCCTTATGAACTTGACTGACTGTCGTCATCAACTGTCCGCTGGGTTGAGCTGTCGTCAAAATCTCCCAAGGGCTTCGCAATGTGACGCATTAGCATATTGTGCAATTTTTTTAATAAAAACGAAGATCCCGAATTAAATGAAGACATGGCTTAAAGGACAAGTACCCAAGCCAAAAATCTTAATAATTTTTTTTACATGAAATAAATTGGGAAACTCGTATGGCAATACTTGAGGTTGCGGCGCGGGTGGACGTCTAGTAGCAATAACGCCTTATGTTCAAAATTCTAAAATACTGTGGCCTTCAAAAGTATTTCTAGATCTTAATTTACTGATTTTCCAGTAAATTGTAATAAATAATAAGTTTTACAAAACAATAAGGAACATTTTTATATTCATTACTAATGTGATGTGTCAATTTTTTTGTTAATATCATTGTTGTAACTAATGACGTATTATATATAGACACGTCACGACCGAACATCGCGGCGCTTAAAAACGGCGAAAATACTAGAACTTCTTATACGCATGAAGAAAGAGAAAGAAAATATGACACCGTACGGCGGGATGCCTGTTGCTTGACTACTAGCTGCATGCGCCGGCCGCCATTAGACGGCGTCGTCGAATAAAATGAAATGAAAATAGGTAGTTTTGTGAACTTACGCATGAAATGCCACATAAATTTTTGTCTTTTTAACTTTTGGGGTATAATTTGTACATCGTCTGAAAACACACGATGGCATGTTTTCTTTGTGTTTTGCACATGTTTACCCACACGAATCACGATATAATGAATTAAAAACAAACGTAGCGTCGCGCGACAGGTTGGTGCGTGACTAAGCGGGATGTGGCCAATTGGCTTCATTTCATGTTGCCATTTTAGAGTGCGGACAACGTATCTATATGTTTATACATCATTGGTTGTAACTACGTTCCTTTTTGAGATCGTCAGGTTTTTTTACGTCATATGTACAATATTCCTGTATTCTATTTCTATTTGTCTATGTCTATTTGAAGCAAATTACTGTATTTGCTTCAAATAGACATAGACAAAGTTTTGGTATTATTATTTATGTAGTTAACATACGGGTGTCAAGCATAGAAAACAAAAAAATATTCCGTGTTCTGTGGTGTCAAGTTTATTTAATAGGTCGGGGAAAAAGTTTCTTCGTATTTTGTGTATATAAAATTGAAGAATAGTCTCTTTGATTGTACTGTTTATATCTGGCCGGTTTTAATATTAATATTTAATACATATAGGATATTAAGAAAAATAAAAAGTAAAAAAAAAACACTTTCCCGCGCTGACTTCTGTATATGGACTGCCTATACACCGTGACATAATGAGGCGATTTCATTTTCACCGTTTTGGCGCTGACAGCAAAAGTGAACGTCCACGGAATTAACAATAGAGATTACACTGTGTGATAAAATATATTGATAAAAATTCTATACTCAGACCTACCGCCTAACGTCCATTGTATGTATATATAATATTAATACAATGCCATACAATAAATAAATGTATCAATTAATAACTCTACATTAGACGCAACCTTTACACCTCATATAAAACTAAGATGGACGCTGCGTTGGTCTTCAATTCCGGATTTCAACATAGGATATATTGATTCATTCGCGAGGCTTAAATATTCTATTGGTATTGGAAAATATTCAACTCGTGTAAGTAACTACCTATGCAAAATAAAAATAAAAACACAATTTCGCGAAGAATTTATTGTCGACCATTCATTCAGTTTTAGTATTATAGAAAAAAAATCTGAAAATTTTTATACGTGGTAGAGCCACGCTGCAGCTATATTACCGTTGTAGCAGGAATGGGTCAGCTCGACCGGGGAAGGACCACGCTCTCACAGAATACCAGCGTAATATAGCAGCTTTATACTGCTGTGTTTCATATGGTGAGTGTAGAGATCCGGAGACCCTTTTCCACTGAAAACGAGGCATTCCATCTTAGTCCTCAGGGTCTGTTCTTTCACTCGAGTGAATTTGTCCAAACCATTTTCATGATAATTAGTGTGCAGCGGGTTTCGGGGGCAATAAATCGATCTAGCTGAGATTCATTTTTAGGAAATTTAGCTTTATCCGTTTTTCAGGCAATGTAAAACTGCTACAATATCATTAGAATACAAAAGTAAATTTTGCCAACTTATTGCGGGTTATAACAGCTCAAATGGAATATCGGGCGGTCGCGAAATCGTGGTACTGCGATTCGAGTCCAGATGTCATCAGTGCGACTTTTTTCCTTTTTTTTTCAAGTTCTCTTCTTTTACGAGAAAATCCATTATTTCGAGCCCCTTTTTAGTATTTCTTTTGAAAACACGAAAAATTAAATCAAAATAATTGCACTCATGATTTCTTATTTAAATAACTAGTTAAGTTTTTTTTATTATGTCGGTAAGATCGAACTATATTATTCATATTTCATCAGTATGTAATTTGTATCTAAATATAATTTCCAAAAAACACGATTTCCAAAAAAAAAAAATAAAAAAAATACCGAGCGAAGCTCGGTCATCCAGGTACTTGATACTATCGTGGTTATACTATCATTGCTGATAATTTTTGTTACATCATATAGATAGTACCTACATAACATAAAATGTGATTGACGTATTACTTGTTTGTTTAAAGTATACATAACAACTAAATAAAATTCATCAGTGTGGCTTTATTTAAAAAAAAATATATCGTGAAGAAAATGGTTTGTAAGATATGTATAAAGCAGTTTATAGATTTTAAAATACTTCAAACATGAAAAAAAACATGGCAACACTACAAATAAATAAATATTTAATATTTTCATTTCATTTCATATTGCCACATATAACTTATTTAATAAAGGTACATATTTAAAAAATTAAAAATGTTTTAACTAAAGTAATTGCTCAACTACTATAGTGATAAACTTTTACTCGATGCAGGGACTGAAAATAGTCGATTTACTCGAAAACTCGTGTACAACTAGAATGACGTACGTACGTAAATTAACCCGAGCAACTCGAGTCACAAAATTCTACTTGAGTCGCATCTTTATCTTACGGTCAATGCAGTGTGTGTCTACAATTGAGTGATGAACTCGACTTACTAATTCGAGCATTTTTTTGATATATTATATATGATATAATTTAAGTATAATTTGTAATAGTTAAATTATTAATAACATTAAGACCTACGTCATAACTGACGTTAGAGTGATATTATTTTATGAAGAGTGTCGATACGCAAATCAAAATAATATAACTACCTATTAAGTTTAGTTATAATAATTGTGTTGGATGGAAAAACAAATATAAGTATAATATGTGACAAATTGATACAGCTTCTTTCGGCTATTTTGAATTGCGTAACACGAATTCAACTCGAGGTAACTCGAGTCGATTTACTTCCGAGATATAAATACAATTATTTTTTTAATATTTCATTATCAAAACAAATGACCTGAACACGAATATCAAAACAACTCTTTTTTTTTCTCCACATTTCTTGATTTCGTTTAGATTTTCAAAAAATCTTTAGGCTATTTATAATAATAAATTTGGTATTTTTATTTTGTGTAATACTATTGAGGGTCGTTAAAATTTCTAGTGGGCCCAAAAACGATTGTCTCCTTTTTAAGTTACCTATATTATCATCAAAGCATTTGTTTAGGGCTGTGCTTTCCGAGGATGTCCTATGTTCAGCCGTGAACATAGAATTAATGATGATGGAAGATTGTTCTTTTTGTTCGTGACTGTGATGAATATTTGAGGTTACGTGTCGGTAGCTTGTGTCGGCTGGGCGCAGTGTTCCAGCACTCGTACGCGCGTGGCGGCGCGGCGTGCGCGTACTGCGCGCGGCCCGGCCTGCGCGTGTGGCGCGCGGACACGCGCGGCAACGTGCTGCATACGCTGCTGTTCAAGGTGAGCCGTGTGTGTGGCGTGTGTGCGTGCGTGCGTGCGTGCGTGTGTGTGTGTGTGTGTGTGTGTGTGTGTGTGTGTGTGTGTGTGTGTGTGTGTTGTAGTTTATAACTATTGCGCAGTTAATACGCTACTACTGAAAATATTAATATCCCGGTTCTGAACATTGGTGTTTGTGTTAGTGTAAGTCACATGTTTGAGATTTCATCCTCACTTGACAGTTCCGTTACGGTTACAGCGAAATAAAGTCCCCCGCTGAACATGGGCCTCCCCTATAGTTGGTTCCTAAGGGAGATATTTGCCACAGTTGTCACGCTCGGCAAGCGGATCCACGGTCATAGTGTTTATTTTGAGTCGTTATTTGGAAGACGCTGCTGCCCATCTCCCGATAAGTTTCATCTTCCCTCTTACGACACCCACGGGATTGCATGAGGTATTGAATATTCTTACACCGCTATTACCCGCTAAAGTATTGTATTATAATTACCATAAAACTCAAGAAGTTTATTTCAAAGCTCCTTGCTGACCTATTCCAGGAAGCAATATCGAACCCTCTGACGGTGGCCGAGCTCCTCAACCCGGCGCAGAAGAAGCAGCCGATCGGCGACCACGAACCAAACTTCGGTCCCCTGCACGTGTTCCGCGAACATTTCCTCGTGTCGTACGACGAGCGGCTGTTGTACGTGTTGGATCCGCGCTCGCTCACCGCCGTCGCCGTGGTCGACGACTTGCGACGGTATGTTCCTATAGTAATAGAAATAGAGTTGAAATTTGCGTTACAACACATGGAGCCACGCTGCAGCTATATTATAGTTTAAGCACGAATTGGTTGGCTCGAACAGGATAGAACCACGCTCTCACAGAATACCAGCTCCAATGTGTTTTGTATGGCGAGTGTTGAGAACCGGGGACCCTTTTAACTTTATAAGAGGCCTTCCATGTAACTCCTCAGGGGTTACAACGCAATCTGCATTTTAATTCTTAATTAAGGATAAATGTAGATGTCTATGGCCGCAGCATCCACTTACTGTGGACATGTGCTCGTTTGTTACTGTAACAGGCGTCACAAAAATAAATTTTAAATTATAGTTTAAAGTTCAAATTTGCACTACAACATGACTTTGACATGTACGTATTTGGTGCGCATTCGAAAATAAAGTGAGGGTACTTTATGTACGGTTCTACATATTATGATACATTACTGCTGGGTTACAATTTTATGCACAGCAAAATTTTTGATTAAAAAGCTTAGTGTTTAATAATTTAGATCGTCATAGTGTACTTACATAATATTTTTTTATAGAATAAGGGTGACAAAAGAGGACTTAGGTATGGCCCATATACGTCTATCATTGATTAAGAATCTAAATATGGGTGAGTTGACACGCCTGAGGACTAAGATGGAATGCCTTGTTACCAATAAAAAGTAGTCATTTGCAGTCGGATTTGTTTTTATTATAAAAGGTTTGTAAAGGTCTTATTCCATGGAGCCTTGTCTAATTTGTATTTTGTTAACAAAACTTTTAATAATATGATTATTATCGGCCACGAGAAAGTATTTTTTTTTATAGAAGAAGTGTGATAAACGAGCACACAATACACCTGATGGTAAATAGATGCTGTGGCCCATAGACATCTACATTTGTCTTCAATTAAGAAATGCAGATGCATTGCCAGCCCAGAGGACTGAGTTGAGCTTAGTCCACGCCAAAACTGTTGGTTGTTTTAAATAAAAGTTATGAACTGTGTCAGGATCGTGTCGGTGTCGGTGAACAAGGAGGAGGTGTTCGTGCTGGAGGGCCCGCGCTCGCTGCTGCGACTCGCGCACGCGCCCGAGCCCGCCGCGCTCGCGCCGCACGCACAACAAGGTAACCCCTAGACCTGCGACACGACCGCGGCACGTTTCGTGTCGCCATCATGTAGATGCGCAACCGCCGAATCATCCTTGGACGACCAACAGCGACATTGAAAGCTTGCGATGACGTTGCGATACGATCGCGACACGATCGCGTTTCTATGACGTTAGAACATCTTGTCTCTGACACTTGCTAACCTCCGTCCTAAGTTTTTGAAAGAAAAAAGAAGCATTAAGTTATTTCCTAACAAATTAACTTTCCCTGCCATGAAATCTACCAAATATTTCACTTTATTTTTAATTGGAATTCCTGTTTTGAATGTGTGTCCATGTTCAATTTATGTACGTATGCAATATAGAAACATATTGTAAAAATTACAGCAAATGTAATATAATAAAATGCTTAACCGGACATGGTTAGGTTAGGAGTTACCAGCTATTAGTGCCCATGTTTGTGCATATACTACAATAATATATCTACTTAGCATAATCCGGCACCAAAATGAAACTACGGCGATAGTTGAATAGATCTTAGATACGTACCTATAGAAGACGGTAAAAGGATATGCAAGAAATTTGAATATGTTTTAAACAACATATTGCTGTCACGCTGTACCTGTATAACAGAGTTACGCAACCGAGAGAGACAACTACAACTCGGGACTGATTATAAATATGAAAAATTGACGAATTCATCATCTCGTGTTACCCTGTTTCCTAAGCTAAAATAGGGCCTATTTTTAATATTTTCTTTCAAGAACAATATTAGAAGTATTGTACCTATGCAGGTATGTCTTTCTTTTATATTAATGTTCGTTAAATTTATTTGTTGAACGTTTATTAACGTCAGTACAACTGAGCAGTTTTAGGATAGAAAAACATAACATAGGTTCATGGGCCATGAATAATGGCAGTAGTGGATATAGGTTGTATCGTAAAATCTCTCATCACTCTAGAGTCTATATAGGGATAAAAACAGTGGGATATGTTTATTTTGTTTGGACTAAACACTGCTCGGATTTCCTCTCAGCTGCAGGTTGCTCATACGCGTAATAAACGTAGTTATAACGAATATAATATGGACACAACACAGATGCGACGGTATCGCATCTGTGTTGTGTTAAGACATGGCTATAACCTGACACGGAATTGTGGGTTGTTGTGAACATACATATATTTTTATACTATTTTTAGTCTACCAGTATCAGATCAAGCTAGTGTCGTCATCAGGAAACGATGCCGGTTCACAATCATACCAGTTATTTGTACAATGTTTGTGTGTAGCAAGAACTTAGTATCGTTCGCTGAACTAAAACACTAGTAGTTAATCAAAACAGATGTACACTACGAACGCCCTCTATTTGAAACATTGGCGTTCAATAAAACTGGGCCCCCTTCTGTCTATCAACAAGTATTTTATAATGGTATTAAATGCAATGATAAATATCTTAATATGTATATATTTAAATGTCGGAAACATACAAAATCGCATTATAAAACAAATTCTTCTCACGATACATAGATAATAGACCGTAGATACTAACACTAGTCAACTCTCCAAGGAATTTAACGTACATTTTTGTATGTACATGCAAAACAGAAAAGTGTAATTTACGGTCATGTCAATTATAATATTTTTACGAGGTGATAAAACGAAATTTTCAGTAAAATTTGTACGGGATAAAGTATTTTACTGTACCCTATCCAGTAAATGACGTCATAGTGTTTTGTAGTCAAACGTTTTCATCTTTTAATACTGTAACTAAGTAAATCAAATTTAACTTAAATTAGCGACCAAAGCGCTACTAAAATAACAAACCTCAAAAATGTACTTAATTTATAAGTAACTTAACCCGCGATTTCCTCAACTTATAATTTTAACAAAAAATCCTAGGAAATCAATGTTTTTTTAACTACTAAAGATCTGCAGGTTTTTTTTGTAATTATCGAAAACCACTTTAACTTTAATAGTTTTTTTTATGCTATTACATCGAATCGTACATAGTGTAAGGTATAATAGGAAAATGGTTAAAATATAAATGAAAGATCTTTTAATTTCACGAAATTTTAATTCTTATCGCCTTATTTAAACATAGTTTTTGTTGTATTTAGTCATAGTTTTGAGTAAAAGCAATGTTAAAAATCTGTTATACATCAAAATTAAGAAATATAACGATAAAGTACTTATATCGTGTTAAAATGCTAACCAAAAAGTTAATTTTTTTATGTAACTTGGGAGATAATCATCAAAAATAATATATTTTGCAGTTTTTATATTACACAAAAAATTCTGAATGTTATTCGGATAAAGTATAGCCCAGATAACTCCCGACACTGATATCTGTATGTTAGTGTGGTTCCATCACATTCTTTTCAGCCGTTCCATACATTAGTTCGGACACACTAACAGACAGGCGGACGTATAAAAATGTTTACGGTCATTCGTGTCCTAATAGCATGCAATTAATCCTCTGAACTTAAAAGAACTTCCATCAACAATACCAACTAGACGTGAGCTCTTGCACGTGGGAGTGTAGCTCGCAAGCCAATAACGGGAAAAACAACTTTATTTGTTATAAGTTAAGGTTGATTTCACACGAAATGTTATTTAATTTATGTCTTTTCATAGTTTATATTCATGCGGACAGTATTTAGCTATGATTTTGTACGTGACCCGTTATCTAGTTCGTATTGTTGATCGAAGTAAAAGAAGGCAGTTATTATTCAAGTTAGTGTGTTAGTTATATTTCAAAATACAGACAGACACTTTGTGTATGAATAGATTTGGGTATCGGGACCATCTTTGATGCGTCAGCAAACCTCAGAACATAATCGGCTTACCAATTTAAGTTAAATTTGATTTTTAGAATTAAAAAACATACAAATAAGATGTTTAATTTACTATAAAAAATTATTACAACATTTTGGTAATATTCCTGTACAATTTCTATATAAGTTTTGTTTGACAGCTCATAAAATGTGTCTACATTAATATGAATGTATGCTAAACGCCTCCATGTTTAAGGGATATATTCCTAGAAATGGGGTTTGTGGTATGGTGTTTGTAAAAAAAGAAATTATTCGTGCTATATTTTTATTTTCATACCATTCCAAACATACATATTACTTTTTTATTTTATATATATATTTCTAGAACAGCTGTTATGTGTGTTGATAATTTTGGTTTTAATGTAGTATTTAGTTTGTGATTATATTAAAAGTTGTGAATGTTTGTCCGTCCTGTAGAAACTTGGCACTTGTAGCAATTATTTGATGCATATTGTTGTAGTCGCAGACTTTATGATTTTATATGTTAACATTATAATTTCACTAGATTTTGTTTTGAATCTTATAATTTAATGTTTTAATTACATATAAATAATTGTGTGTATATTTGACGAGCAAATTTGATTTAGAATTGCTTAATTTGTTTTTGAATGTACTTAATTGTTACATAGTATTTTTGACTTAAAATAATTTCGATAAGTGCCATAGTGCGTAAAGTTTAGTGTCAAATTTATTTGTTTTTGAAAACGGTATATTGTGTTAATATACTGTTTTAATGTACTTAACTAATAGTTATTCTTGTGTAGAGATTATTAAGACATTTATTATAGTAATGGTAATTTTATAGGACTTTTTGTTATTTTGTTTTAATATTTAATGATATGTGTAAGTACCTTTTCAACATATACCAAATTAGGACCAATAGAGTGAGTACTTAGCGTCGAAAAGAATATTTACTATCAGGCAACACCATTTTTTCTGGATGTTTCTTGATTTATGTATAAATATACTAACTATACTAATAATTTAATAACGTTTATTAAATTATAAGGTAAAAATTGTTGTGCTAAAGTATTTTATATTTTAAAATTATAGAAAATAAGGTTCCGTAACATGCTGTATCTTTAATATGAATGACAGAACTACACGAAATTGCAGAACTTTCTGACTCTTGAAAATAATAAAGTATGCGCATGCGTGCTTCCATAGCTTATCAAAGAGATATTTGGTCACTTTATCCCTTGCAAGATGAGATGTTTGCCATTTCTCTATGTGATTATATACTATACAACATTTATTAAACAGTTATGTTTTAATTTTTACATTTATCATTGAAGAGAAAATAATGTCATTTTAAATTTAATCACTTATTTAACTAAACTGATGAAAGTGCTATTGATATCAAATTTGCACAGATTATGTCAATTACGTAATATTTGCTTAAACTACGCAAAGAAACTAAAGAGTATATGTTAAATTCAAAGACCTGTTTGTTGACCTTTAAACAAAAAAGGAAATGACAATTTTTATGATCATTTCAATTTTGTTTGTTTTTGAATTATGTCGGCAAGATTTATAGTATTTAAAAAATATATTTATTAGTAAAAACTACCTCTCAGTATCTTTCTTGAGTCGGAGAATTATATTTATATTTGACATTCCATTATAATTAATATTAAAATGGACTGATTAGTACAGTTTTCAGATCAGTTAGTTTTAGCTGCTTATAAATGCACAAATTTTAAAATGTTATTCATAAGTATCTTGTACTTGGCACTCGCTTATTTAAGTATTAAGTTAAAAAATATATACAAATACGCTTAGGCTTGTAAGCAATTGTAATTTTCCAGAATTATGAGTTGATCGGCTTTTACATGATTAGAAATACCATTTATATTGTAATAGCGTTATAATTTTTTATTAATATTAATCTGTGATATGCATCATGCTTGAATTATTGTTTTATGTTTTTATAATAACTTTTTTTTTACAAAATTTCTTGTTATTAATTGCATACTATACTTCGAATTGAACTAATTCCACGCATTTAACAGTGTTTCACGCGATTAAATCCTTAAAAAGTAGTTTAATTCAACACTTATCATATTAGTTATTTTGCCTTTTACCCTAACAAAACTGTGCCTTAAATATTTTTAAGAATATTTCACTTAAAGAGTATAAAGCCTTCTAAAGGCTGAACCCTTAATTTAAATTTGCACCTTAAACTTATGTAATAGTTTCAATCGTTTGAATTTTTTTTTATTTGTTTTAATATTTCTTGCTTTCTTACGTTTCATGTATACTTGGGACACAATTAAAAGAAATCTGTAACTGAAACAATTCATTGAATATTAATTTCACCTGAAATGCATAAAGCTCTTCAAACGTTCCAAAGATAAAGTTTTAAAATTTGCATATTAGACATCATACATCATACACTACATGTAGTTTCAAAAACTTGTTTGAATTTGTTTTTTATCTGTTTTAATATTTAATGCTTTCTTGCGTTTTATGTATACTTGATAAAATAACTGTGATTCAAAAACTTCATGGAATTATTATTTTACTTAAAATGCATAAAACCCTTTGAACGGTCCAAAGATAAAGTTTTAAAATTTGCACATTAGACTTACGTACTTGCAAGAGCTTGTTTGAATTTATTTTTGTGTCTGTATTAGTTTTTTCTAGCTTTATTATGTTTAATGTATTAGGAGACAGATAAAAAATTAACCTGTGGCCCGAAACACTATTTGATTGATATAATGTTAGCATGGCCATTGTACTTATATGTGAATATACTTTTTGCAGAACATATTTGTGTTTTTTTTTTATTTTACCATTTATACACATAGCGACACAGCTTTGCCTTTTCATTGCGTTTTATGAAGTAAAATTTATGTTGCTTAATGTTTGTAAAATGTTTTGTTGCTTATATTTGTCTGCATTCGGTGTATTTAGCATATGAGCAATGGCTCTTTTAATTTTTGAATTACCTGTTTTAAATTAAGGTACACAATAATATAATATCAAATAGAGAATCGAGATCGGTACCGTGATCGATCATAACCATATTGTTTTTAAAATATAATAGTTGTACAAGTTTTATGTTGTAATATTCGTGCAGACGCAAACTATTTGCTCAAAATATTTTATAAAGTTTTTGCCAAAACAATATTTTTGACGTATTATACATACTCATCTATGGTGAAGAACACAACATATTTTGGAATTAAAACAGCATAAACAAAATTTTATATTAAAATTAGATTTCCATAAAAATACCAGCGATCCGCCCCGACTCAGTACGAGTAATTTCTGGATCTCGACAACAAAGCAACCTCCCGGGTCTAATTATAGTAAAGAACAATCCAGTTGCCCTCACAAGTAGCCCATAAAAATTTTCATCAAAATCGGTCAAGCGGTTTGTGGAGGAGAAAAATTACAAAGATGCTTACACTTGAATGTGATATATTTACATATTAAATGTTTAAATGGTACACACATTTACAATTACTAAAATGGATTTTAATTGTCATAATATATTTAACCAATGTTTATAATTTAAACATCGCAGCCCGATAACTTAATCAGCCGCATAAAGGGAAGACTAGCTAATGTATTTTTTGTAAAGTAATGTAATATTTCCTTAAAAAAAAAACACGTTAACAATACACGTACACAATATATGATAGTGATGTCTATTTTAGTCCTTATGTTGCTTCCATCGTTCTTTTTTGTAATTTTGGTACCAAATACTTAATGATGACATATTGCTAATAAATTTTAACAGGCGCCTTATTATGTAAAATCGTATTGGTATGACTTTAAAGTTTTAATTCTAAGAAAATTATTTCAGTGTCTCATTTGTGTATATAAACATTTTTTTTTTACTTTCTTTACAGATGAAACAGCTAACCTCATGACAAAATCTCTAACGACGTCGATACAACAAGCTGTAAACACAGTCAGAGACCTAACTCACTTGGACCAGACTGTGCCGTACATCACTAGTGTTCTAGAACAACCAATTTCTATCTTCACAAAGAACGAGCTCATCGAAACGGGCACCATAGCAAATGCAGAGGAATGCTTTGAATTACCACCTATTAAACATTTGCCCCGAGATATCTCTGATAATGTGTTAGAATCGATTATAAATGAATTCAAGGACGTGTCGAGCGACGCGGAGGAAATAAGAAAGATCAAGTCGGAAGAATTACAGAAGAAATTAAAACTGTATAATAGCATAATGGAGAAGAAATATGACGAGGAGTTGATCCATAGTAGTAGGAGAAGTCGGAGGAAGGATAGCGGGTCGGGCGGGAGTACGCCGCGCCTGAGTACGCCGGTACGGAGACCTGCAGACAACGTCAGCTACACCAGCCCCTGTGTAATGAATATTAGCGTTTATGGGTATGTAATATTTAAAAAAAAGTTATTTGTAATATACATGAAAATAACTTATGTAAGTCAATCATTCAAATTTTATTTATATTTAAATGTATTTGGTTTGGTTTAAATCAATATATGAAAAGTTAAATTTTCACGATCGTTGTTGTTAGCATAGCGTGAAATTCTAGGTTTTTGGTAATTTTCATTTAAAATTCAGACCAAAATCTAAGATCTGTGGTTATTCTACAATCTACATCGCTAATGATTTTTAATTAGTGTACTAGATGGCGTTGTTTATATTTTTATACTTTTCAAATGAGTCACTAGATGTCGGTGTCATGTAACTTTGTGTGTAGATTAACTTCCTTATATGATACAAGATAGCGCTATTTTACTTACATTTGTAACAAATATCACTAGATGTCACTATTAAACACTCAATATTATTTGAAACGTGATGTAGAGATTTTTGCTGATGTAATGAGGTCCGTATGCCGCGAATAGAACGGCAAGACCTTACTTCATAGGATCATTTCTATAGTAAGTTCTTCACGAGACCTTCACACTATGTGAGATCTATCCAGCCGCGTTGATGAGAAGTGGCGCGGCGCCCTGAGCGTGAGGCGGGCGGCAGTGGTTCACTGCCAGCTCTCGATGATCGTTCGCTCTCCTGCTTCGGCGGGGGAGGGTGGGGCGTTGTCGCTGTCTGAGTGGCTTTTTGAAGTTCATTAAAATATGTTAGTTGGTATTAGCGATGGGTCGTTGACGGTTTTTCCTTTAACGAAACATTAACGTTGATTTACGTTTGTCAACTAGTTAATCAACTAGTTGAATCCGTCAACGAGTTAACGTACTACTAATGTCAACTGAACTAATGAACTTTTAACGTAAACCGTACTTTCATTGAACGGTTTTTATTCAACGCTGCAAAGTTCAATTTTAGAAACAATTTATATAATATATTCCCTTTATACCTACTTTTTCTTCAGGCTTAGGACTGACTGAATACAATTAGTTATAAACCATATTCTACTCAGGCGTATTTAAAGGATTATCTGATTCTATTTACACAAATCAATTATTATTTACAATATGTTTATTTATAGTTTTAATTTTTGGTTTTTTATTTTTTCCATAATTCTTTTGTTGATTTTATGTACATTCGTCAATTTGTTTATTTCTACATTTAATTCATACCCCTTGAACTGGTCACAATTCACTGTTACCCCTAGTACGTACCAACATTTTCAATTTTGTACCTTAAGGGGAAATATAATCCCAAATGGCTTAGCAAGATCCTTCGTTATGCCGAAAATATTGCTATATAATAAATATATATAATAAATATATGGTAAAGTTGAGGATTAATGTTAAGGATTATGTTAGACGAAAACACGATTTCGTAAAATTTTCTCGATAGAAAAAAAAATTAAAATTTACCTCCAAAATAAACAATAAACCGCTGTTATTCCTAAAATACTTTAAATAAGATCATGAAACTTTGCATACTAACTGAACTAACTATAAAGCAGTGCTTATGTTATTTACTTTTTTTAAAATACCATTATTTTCACTGTAAAAAGAAATAACCTAAACTATCGGCCTTTTGAAGCGTGATTCCTGTCGCACGGTCACTTCGCTTCGGCCTTTGAACGGGGAGGTTGTGTCGCTTACGATCAGAATATACATTACGCAACAGGACGACGTAAAATTAAAATGGGAAATAACCGTAATAAAAATAAGAAGCGACTGGCTTGGCGTTAAGAAACAGGCATAAATATGATAAACCTAATGAAATAAGTGACTAACGACCTTTCTACTTACAGTATTAGTGATTACAAACATGTCGGTACATAGCATACGACGCGCGGGCAAGTGGGGACAAAATTAGAATTTGAGCTGACTTAGTCTATCACCTTAAGTAGTACTACTTACTTTAGTACTTCATTTAGAGTTCAAATTGCATGATTTGACCGTCACTCGCAGTCTATGACGTATTTTCAACGTAAGTTTTTTTTTTAATTTGGTTAGTCCGTTGCGTTTGCGTTCTCGTTTATTGAACGAGACGCACACATTGAATTCATAAACGTCGTTAACGAATTCAACTAGTTGATTCATAAACAGTAAACGTTAATACGTTGAAAGTAGATCAACGGTTGATTCAACTAGTTCGTTGATTCAACACCCATCGCTAGTTGGGATATCTTCGATTAAATATTATAATGAGTATCTTTCACATGCTGTTCGATTCTATTGCAAAATAATTTTTTTTAGTATTCAAGGTTCTTTTGACTCTACTCTTATCGTGGCCACACACACACACGGTCCGTTCAACTGGTCAGTTCAAATTAAAACCGTTAATATTTTTTAAAATATCCGATTTTCGATATATTCATATTCCATAAATAAACTTATATGTAAAACTCCGATATTAATATATTTATAATATATCGAAAATCCACTAGTTAAAAAAATATCAACATTTTTAGCTTGAACTGACCGTGTGTGGCGTCCATTAGCATATCAGCATAAACTTTAGAACGTGAACGTAAAAATATTTTATTCAAATAATGGTTTCTAAAATTTACACGTACACTATGTAGGGTCGATGCGCCGGTAAGCCGGCCGGGTCTAGATTTCGGCCTTTGGCACGAGCTGATGCAGTAAATTTGATTTAATAACAATTTTAATAAATATTATCGTAAGAAATACAGTTTAATGCATTTGTAAATAGTTCACTATATCTGGTAGCATTAATTGATCAGGTAAACACAACACGCGATTTATAATAAAGTTTAGTTTGACGCCGACACTGAAGCTATCAAAACGGGTAAGATCGAGCAAAAAAAATAGTGGCGAGCGTTCCATTCAAAAGTAAGTTTCGTGCTGTATTTAATATAATTACTTAATATTGTGCTTATATTTCACTATATAAATAACCTAATATAGTTATTTGACACTGATTATTATAATAATTTATTGATAAAGTTAATAAATTAAGTGGCCGAAAAGTGACACATAAAATTGTCCCATTATTTGGTTGTCGGCCATGCGGCCGAAAAGTAGCCTGAGTTTAGCCTAAATACTTTGTCTCTTTCGTTTATTTGGTTACGTACTATAACTCATCTTTCTTACTTATATTGAATCGTAGCGTGCGTAGACACTAACTTTCAGTTTTCGGCCACCAAGTACTGCAATTTGAACAGTTAGTGATGAAACAAAATACCCATTTCAGTCGTGGCCGAAAACTGGATTGACTCTAAAATATATACAATTTAGTTTTCGGCCAACTTAAAATTGTATGAAAGAATACGGCGGCGGAAAATGGAATGCTGTCTTAGTTTACGTTTACGGCCATTTCATCTTATCATATCAAATATTTTATTCACATTGCGTTTTAGGAAGAAGATTCAAAAAGAATTTTTTTTTCTTCAGATGGCTCCTCTTGGTTAGAGATGAGAATGGTTAGATATGGTAACAGATTTTGTTAAACTAAAATACTTATGAGGAAGTACAAAATACTCGTAAATGAGAATATTTGATTGCTATATTTAAAAGATTTTATTATTAGATTATGATTCAAAGAGAAATAATTAATCATGGTTATTATTTTATATCAAAAACACACCCAAAAAGAAAAAAATAACGTCACGGTTAAAAAATCGCAATCACCGATTGAGAAAACTAAATACACCGATTTCCCAAACCGTTTTGCCATTTTCTGATTTTACAAAAACACTTAAGTTTATAGTACCTCTTCTAATACAGTGGCCGAAAACTAAAATTCTTGTAGGCCGAAATCTAAAATTTGGGGCCGAAAACTAGCGTTTTGCATATTTTTCACATCAAAATTTATTATAAAAAATAAATTTCTTTCGGAGCATTAATGAGTTATCAAAATGAAAACTACATTATATAAGCTATAAATTAAAATTAACAACACTAGGTCAACATAATCGCTATTATTTTTTATAGTACCTTAAAGTTGACAACTCCACTAAAAGGCCGAAAACCAGCGCAACGACCCTACACATTGAATAAAACTATATTTACGGATTTTATCGCGTTTAATAAATAAAATATTTTAATTTATTTTTTGTTCCCGACGTTTCGGATGCTTTATAGCACCCATGGTCACGGGGGGAGGGAGTACTCATAGTTGGCCTGGCTGGCCACCTTCAGTTATTGAATATTAGTTTTTGGTCCGATTTGTGCAGAACGAGCTTACAGTATCATGAAGTCTTGCAGTGGTATGCTTGGGTTTGGGTTTAATTTTGTTAATTATAGGATCCCAAGCAGGTGGCAGCACCCATCCATCTTCTCTATTGAAATTAGGATGTTTTGTAATTTCAATAGCCTGATCCTTGCTAGAAATCGGTGTTCTTTTGCGAGGATTTGTGGTTTTCCAAATCTGATTACAATGTTTGGGACGATCTTGAACATGTTGACAGAAGTCTGCATTCTGTTTAAAATACAACTTGCAATCCCCGCCGCGTAAGCGATATGTGACACTTTCGCTTTAACTTTTATAGTACGCATACGGCAACGTAAATTTTTAAGATAACTTGTACAATATGTTGCAATATGAATGCAAGTAAAATTTATATTTTTTAAAAATTTTGTTTATTCACACAGAAGTTTAAATACCAGGCGGTCCCATAATGAACTGGCCTGATATAGTTCAACGCGACATGTCGCTACATGTTGTGTTGCATTAAATAGTACGTTTATCGTGCACTTAATATAAGAAACATGCATCGACATGAAATGCTTAGTCTTAGTTTAACAGGCATTTGAATAACGAGAGTCGCGTATTTTTTTCAAAATGTCGAAAACTGAGTATCGAAGTGTCATAAAGTTTCTGTTTAAAGAAGGTTTATCCCCTGCCCAAATAAAAGAACGATTGCATGGCGTGTATAAGGAGTCTGCCCCCTCCTATAGCACAGTGAAAAAATGGGTGAAAGAGTTTCGCCTCGGGAGAGAAACCGTCGAAGACTTTGGCCACGACGGTCGACCTGTGGAAGTGCTCACTCCCGAAACGATTGCTCTTATCGAAGAGGAGGTTCTGAGTGACCGCCGTTTGAAGATTAGAGAAATTGCAGCAAGGCTTGGGCTCTCTAAGAGTACCGTTCATCGCGCGATCCATGAACATCTTCACATGAAAAAAGTAAGTGCAAGATGGGTACCGAGACTTCTTTCAGCGGTACAGAGACAGGAAAGAGTGCGCTGCGCTTCGGAGTTTTTGGATCTTTGTGGCGAAAATCCAAAGACTGTGATCGAGCGGCTAGTGACTGGTGATGAAACTATGATCTTGTATTATGATCCACAAAGCAAGCGCGAGTCAATGGAATGGCGTTATAAGGGTGAAAAGCCCCCTAGAAAGGCAAAGGTGCAACAATCGACTAAAAAACTGATGTGCACAATATTTTGGGATTTTCAAGGCATTTTGATGGTGGATTTTAAAGAACGTAATACAGTCGTGAACGGCGAATATTATGCTTTTTTAATATATAAATTACGAGACAAGATAAAGAAAAAACGAAGAGGCAAGCTGTCTAAAGGTGTCCTGTTACTCCATGACAACGCCCCTGTTCATACCGCTGGTGTTTCGAAGGATGCAGTTCGTCAATGCGGGTTCACAGAAGTTCAACATCCACCTTACAGTCCAGACATGGCCCCGTCCGACTATTATTTATTTCCAAATTTAAAGCGGGACTTAAGAGGAAGAAAATTTTCAAGCGATGAAGAGTTGCAGGCGGCCGTCTTCAGTCATTTTGAGGATAAAAAATGTGATTATTTTATAAAGGTTTAGAGATGTTGATTCACAGATGTCAGAAATGTGTTAGTATTCATGGTGATTATATTGAAAAACAAAATTGGTTTCGTTTCATTTCCTTCATTGGTTCATATTTAGGCCAATTCATTATGGGACCGCCTACGTAGATTCGTCGTTCATAGTTAATAGTTATATTTTATATGTTAGCCAATGCATTTTGGATGTACCTATGTAAGGTACATACAAAATGCATTGGCTTTTAAAATTTTAACGTTGTTAAAAATATGATGTTAGTTATATTGTATACAAAAATAATTTAAAAAGTTATTGTAACAACTATCAAGTTTATATAATATACAAAACATTAATTTATTTAAATATTGAAACCAAAACAATTTTAATTTATAACAATAGCTAATTGTTTTGTTTATAACCTTTGTCAAAACTGTATACATTTAAATGAAATTTGCTACCGAAAAAAAAACAACGGAATCTATTACTGATGTGTTACAACTACAAAATATGAAAAACTTATTGGCATGGTAAATTCAAGTATGTAAAAATGTAATTATACCACATTATTTCATTTTTCTTTCTGGTTACAGTAATAAAATTAATATAAAACAATAACGGAATTTGTTTTAGAAATAGCAATAAAATATCGGTAAATCAATTATATCGTGAATTAACTGATAAATAATTTCAACTTAATCACATGTTAAATACAGAACATTTAATATATAACTTTTTTAAAACAAAATCAACATTAAAAAAATCAAATTAAGTTGTAAATCGAATTTAAAAAACAAGTGCAAAGTTACCTCTTTATTTCTTCTTTTTTCTTTTCGGCTCAAATTTCACTTTCTGGGGGTGATGCTCGCTAGAATACAACTGCTTCTTTCCCTTTTCAATTAATCTGCCAGTTAAATTTTTCAATCAGCTTCTAAAAAAATATTATTGTTGCCATTGCATGCATGCATATTATAGTTTTCTTGTCTTGTCGGGTGTGTTAATTCAACAATTGAAAATTTTTCTTTTTTTTATTACTGCATTAATTCTTGTGTATTTAAATTATTTTCCCATTTTTTAAACAATTTGCCAAGGTCGCCATGTAATGTTGAAAGGTGTTCAGTTAAAAGACGTGTTACTGTTGCTTTGTGTTTAATTATACTACTGTTTTATTGTAAACTAAACGCTAATATGTGATTAAATAATAAGAGCCGTGGTAGCTCAGATGGTTAACGCTCGCTGTAAATATAACAGAACGCGAGTAACCCGGGTTCGAGCCCCGCCGGCACCAATGAAATTGTTACTTGCAATTTTAAGTGCTGATTTACCACGTGCTCGGCGGTGAAGGAAAACATCGTGAGGAAACCTGCATGTCTGAGGAATAAGAAAAAAAATATTTCGAAGACATGTGAAGTTCGCCAACACGCATTGGGGCAGCGCGGCGGACACTTCCTTGCCCTAAAACCCCCTCAGAAATAAGGGGAGGCCTGTGCCCAGCAGTGGGACGTGTATATAGGCTGTAACTTTACTTTTTACTTTAAACGCTAATATAAATTGTCGTTGAGGCTACACTATAGAGAACTTCGACGCTGGTCTTCCATGGGTCCCGAGGAAAATTTAACAAATAATAAATTAAGAGCATAATGATATATTTCTTTTACAGAAACGATTCACAAAATGACGATTTGCTCGAGAAGCAGATTGAAGAGAAAGAGAAAATACTCGCGAAAATGCTGAACCTGGAATCTCTTAGCATAGCCAGCCCTAGAGTGAAGAAAGAAGCGGCCACAGAGGAAACTACATTACATTATAAGTCGTACGTTGCAGAACACCCGGCAGAAGAACCAAAACAAGACCAACCCAAAACTGAAAAGACTGAAACAAAACCGGAAAACAATAAGACGAAAGCGGAGCCAAACGTTATAGATTTGGTGCCGAAAGTTGTTAAACTGCCTAACAATTGGAACCTAGAGAATATAGAATTAAGGCTGGACATGAAGAATGGAGTTAAGGATGTAATAAACTTGATCTCTCCCGACGATCATTTGGATAGCGAGTGGGAAGTCATCTGATCTAATTGGAAGCATTTAGGTAAGACGTTTTTCTGGCTCCATTTGACAGAACTGCTCATTCATTTGTTCAAAAATTGTTTATTAAAGAGTGTACATACATGATTGATCATAACCCCGGAGAATACTACCATACTATTTCTAAATGTTTTCATATTTAATTGTACAAAATAATATTTTATTATAAATTGTTAAAAAAAGAGTTGGATTTCTTGCTGGTTTTTTTCCCAGGACAGAGGTTTTTGTCTGTTGACTTTCAATAAGAGTAACAAATACAACAACAGAGCAAAAAACAAACGAGCACACAGTCCACCTGATGGTAAGTGGATGCTGTGGCCCATAGACATATACATTTAACCTCGATTAAGAAGTAAAACGCAGATGCGTTGTCACCCCTGAGAACTAAGATGTAATGCCTCTGTTCCAGTAAAAAGGTTCTCAGGATCTCTACACTCACCATACCAAACACAGCAGTATTAAGCTGCTATTTTATGCCGGTATTCTGTAAGAGAGTGAATGAAAGAGGATAAATTGTTTTTCTGGCTTGATTTGACTATTTATTTAAGAAATACAAAGTCACTTGCTCTACAAAGCTTTGTATTAACTTTGGGCGTGGTAGAGCGACTACGCAACTGTATGTGCTTGCATCATGAATGGGTCGGTTCGTACGGGGAAGGCCCACGCTCTCTTAGAATACCGGCGTGAAATATCAGCACATCGCAGCTGTGCTTTGCTATGCTGCCGTGCAAAATTTGTTCATTTAGCTTGTATTTGTAACATTTTCTTTGTATTCAATCTTTCAGGGTAGTCAGACCCCATCACTGTTTCCTGTTACTCTACTGTATGATGCAGCGGATATTCGATGATTAAAGGCGATATTATCAAGAACAATATATTAAGTTACTATTTATTTATATTATCACTTAGATTTTATTTATATGTAGATCAATCAAGTAGTCAGTTAATTGTGGATTATACATTACAAAATCAAATGACAAATATTAAGATAATTGTTAGTTGTTTTGAAAAAAATTACTTCCTATGTGCATGTACTGCGTGCGTATCCGTCGTTTACCGTATATAGAACTAAGAAATTTACCTTGTATTTGTCACAAAATTTTGTAAACCATTGACCCATGACGTGAACTACGAAATATTTTGAAAGAACAATTTAATTGATGGAACACAAAAATTGCAAGGAAAGTCTTAACGTAGCTATTTTGAACTTTTGTACTTACGTGTTTGTGTCCATAACAATATGTCGAATCGACCTTAGATTAATTATTTCATTTTATAGTATAAAAGCAATGTTATGCTCGTATACAAAATATTTTAACAGTATTATATTTGCCTGATTAAAAATTAAAGCAAATTTCGCTAGTTTTGTAACATTCTCATTAGTAGCATTTGAAAGAACCGAATTATTTACAATATCTACATACATTCCCTTTAGATTTTTTTTAATAAGCTTGTTGTAAGTGGCCAGTGTTATAAAAATTGTGAATGTTTGTATTGGTCTGTTTGGAACTAGATCTATAGTGGTAGAAAGGGAACTAAAATTTAAATTGTAATTTTTTTTAAATCTATAATACTAAACTAAAACTAATTATTGTATAGTTTATTTTTTGTTAGCCGTGCACATACACATTGTGTCAGTGTGCGTAGGCCTCGGAAGCGCTCGGTCACGATCACGAGTCGAACGAATCGTAACTACACACACAAACGCGGCTGTTGGTACACGTCACTATTACAATACCAAAGCATTTTTACAATTAAAACCTTCATCGTGAAATAGAATAACTATACGAAAGTAAAATATAATTAAGATTTACTGTCGCATCTTATGACCGCTTAACGACAAGACAAAAAAAAGACTAAGGAAGTTCTTATTTCGCACATACAAATTATATATTTTTATTCTAGTGTATTTTTATTAAGGATATTTTATGTTAAAGCTTTAATTTAAATAGTTTTAGAGTTATATAAATACGATCAGTGCATTTATTTGTGTAATGCTTCATTTTTTATGACGCGAAGTTAGAAAACCAAATCAAATATAAAATAATCCAGTGAAGCAATTTATCCCAGCTGTAAATTACTGACTAAATATAATTATGAATATAGCAAGTCGACACAGGATTTAGGTTTTTATACATCTTACTTTAAACAATAACTTCAAATTGTTTGTTTTACAAACATTAAGCCTTGATAATTTATAGATAGGAGTCAATTTATTAAAATAAAACATGTATTATTTCACTTATAATTAAGGTTTTGATCAAATTGTTTAAAATAATTTATCATTAAAAAGGTACCTACGCTTACTTTTTGGTATTACTAGCACACTAACTCGCTAAAAGCAAACTCGGCGTTTAGCTGGGCGAAACGTGTGACGTGTATATATACCATATAACATACAACTTGTAAAAAATACTCTTACGTACGTTAAATACGTTATCAGTGTCAGAAAACTCGATCATAAAATAATTTTTGGCTTAGGCGCTGCGACAATGTTGCCCTCTGTCCACACACTGCTCTCTCGCACTGCACTTTCTCTCTCACTCGCGCAATTAAGAGGGCCCTTCCCGGCCCGTCTATCGTCAACGCGAGTGTGGTTGAGAAGCCTGTTGTTTCATCCAGCGCAATGCTAGAAAAAGAGGCAAAGCGAAAAGAGAGAGATAGCGCCTGAGCGCTCGGTTAGCATTCGGTAACTTTTGCCGCTCACTCGCGGGCGGCAGACCGCTATCCGTTAGTGAGCCATTCATGACAATAATATTGAATCGCACGCGCGCGTCTCGCAACTATGTACTCGCGTGCGCATAGCCATAGTTTTGTAAATTTTTCTTAATACAGGACAGGTGCATGCCTACATTTAGTACCGTGTTACTTTATTATATTACATGCTTTGTCTAGTACGGACGTAACGCTTGGCCTTGGATATTTATTTGTGTTGTATTTTTACCAATCTAGGTACCGTGCGTGCGTTATTTTTGACGATATGGAAATTATTTATAACATACATTAGCTTTTTCTTATTTCATATATACAAGTACCTCATGGACGAACAAAGAAAGTCAGACAGATTGTCGCTAGTAAAAAACTGTAAACACATAAAGCTACCCATTTCCAGTATACAATGGTCTCGCTTTGTATCAATTTTCCGTACAATGAGAGATCCGTATAAACTGTTTTTTCGTCGTGCGTACAAGCATTCACACATTAGTCAGCCATTACACGCGCAAACGTCAATACTCACACATAGACCAGACTCAGTTTTATTTTAGCAGGGAGTTCCGTTCGACTTTTTTTTGTTCGTCCATCATATACCTAAATACAGAACGAAAAAGTAAAGGTAAATGATTTATTCTGCTTAGAGCTAGTAGGAGCAGAACAAATTCTTTATCTATCCAGTTTGTCTGTATTAGTATTGTATTAGAGGATGCGGAAATTAGGTAACGTACCTAATTATTTAACATGTACGTACCGTATGTAAATGACTACAAATGTTTTGTAACTACTAATTTGTACCGTAGTACAAGGGGTTGATCAAATAAAGTAGTCTAAATACAGTTGGGTAAATATCAATTTTTATTCTAAAAAATTTAGTCACATTTTATAAACAGTACATAAAACAACCCAATTGTCGAGAAGATTCCGTTTTCCGAACACATACAGTTTTTAAACTGTAAGAAGTGATTGAAAATTTAGAAAATTTTTAATTCGTTCGAGTAGTAACTCCTCTAGCGTAGAGCCACCTTTACTTCAAGTCAAAGTGACTGTGGTACCAAGAAACCTAACGACATCTTAAAATTGAGTAGCGTTTGAGTATTTGGCCATAAGTCTTCAATTGTTAGTAACACCCCGCAGTTACTAATTTTTTGTATTGTTTACAAATAATTTTCTTTTAAACGAGAATAATTGTCTGATCTCGGAAGATTTGTACTTAACTCTGAAACAATTTCACTAAACAAAAATCTACAAGTTGCTATATCAGCAGCATCATCATCATCAGCGCATTACATTCCACGGCTGGACGTGAGACTGGACCAAGTCCTGTATAAGGCAATGCCAAGTATGATTATTAAATCACACTTGGCATGCTGATTTAAGATCCGAGTACTGGCACCTTTGACACTGCTGCTTGTCGCCGGTCTGAATATTTTACGTCTGGTGTAAATGAAATATTATCGCCATCTATTGGGACCCATAACACTTTTTTGGAATTTCCTATTGTCGTTTCTTACGACAAATACAGGACGAAGTAGAGTAACGTATTCTCTTTCACCTTATACCAAACTACTTACTTTGATTACAATACGGATTCTAAGTTACGCTCAATTCTCTGTAACTCCTTTAGTTAGAATAACACCAACCCACCCCCACCCCTAAACAATACTCACCTATATCTTTCGACAATTGCTCCTAAGGGGTGTCGATTCTCTCTGAAAAGATTGATTTTTAAATCGATTCGAATCGAAATCTGATGAAACTGATCAGACTGATCTTTCAGATTCGTACAAAGTACAGATTACAAACGTAACTTATTGTTATTTCTTTAATCCATTAAGAAGACGCGAAAGAAACTAAGCACACAGCAGTTTTGTTAGTTTTTGAATAGAAAAACTGTCGTTCTTTACGAGTTTGGGTACATGCAACTAATTTTTATAGTTCTGATGTAAAAGATTCGATCTCGATTTTCTAAGGTGAAATATCAATTCACTGGATTGATTTAGTACTATATATCGATTAAAAATCGATCTTTCTGGCACAAGAAATCGATCTCGAATCGACATGCCTAACCTTTAGTCGACTGCGAGCGGCCGAGAAGACAAGTTCTTTGTCGTGTAAACCGCGAACGTTGTTTTCGACAATCTACGAGTAAGGCCCGGTTTACATTTTGAGAAGTGACAAGTGCGGGTGGCAAGTGCAAGTGATAAATGACAAGTGCTTAGTACGTATGAACAGATAGTAATAAGTGGTATTAAAATACGCACTTGTCACTT